GCCCGGGATCCGAACCCGGGCCGCCAGTAGCGGAGCGCGCACACTTAACAGCTAAGCCACCGGGCCGGCCCTTAACAGGCAGTTTTGATGAAAATATTGACTAAAGATAAAATTATTTTCTAAGAGCACCAGGACAGTGAGCAAAGTCCACAGCAGAAATATTTCTCCTAAATATTTTTCTACAACCAGTACAACCAATTGAGCATTGATTTTAACCCAGCCAGTTTTGGTCCATACAGCTTAAAACACCTAGGAATTTTTTAAAATGTATTTTTCATTCAGATAATTCATATCCACCATAGAAAATCTGGGAAACATTAAAAAGTGTGAAGAAAATAAAACATCTCCAATTCCTCAAAATGATTTCTAGATAGTTTTGTAACCAATATCACCAATATCCCACTCCCCTTAAAAAAAGCAACCCTAGAGATCTACCACCAAGAATCAAAGGCTACACCATAGTGTGGGTGCACCTTTCTTGAAAAAGAGCTCCGAAAGCATTTTAGCAAAGACAGCACCCCTAAGCTAACACCTAACGCATCCACTGTGATGAACTAAGGCGACCAGGACGCTCTTCGGACACCTACATTCTGTTGGGCTAATATTTTAATTGGCTTCATTACTTCAAGGCCATGCCTTCCTTATTCTCTACTATTGACAACATTGGAAGAGAGCTCCTTGTCTCTGCAGAAATGAATACTTCCAGCATCTAATTCTGTCTGTGACTAGATAGAGTTCTAGGTTGAAATCATCAGAATACAGTGCCTGTGCTTCTATAAGCAGATGTGGTCTGGAGACTCAGATTACTACTGGCTTCATTTAGATAATTTAGCATATTAATCTATTTTTCCCTGTTCATTAAAATCATCTAACAAGCTGTACAAAGGTTCTGAGTATTTTACATTATGCAAAACAGTTCACCTTATCTACATGTACAATATGCCTAACAACTGTAACATCATCCTTAAATGGCTACGCAAAAAGAACAGCTCTGTGCCAGTGTCTCTGAGGCCATGAGGCCACAGAGGTTTCAGAACCCGGTGGAGGTCACGCCGCTGGAGAGGGGCAGCTCCCAGGCTTAGACCCCCATGGATGCCAAAGTCAAGGGGTTCAATGACCTTGAAGGCAGGACCGCTGCCTCTTCGGATTTGGGGTTTCCCAAGGCCATGACCTATTTTTGGAAGGCCACATGCCCTCACCCATCAGCGGGAGCTTGAGTACGAGGCTCTGGTCCCCCGGTTCCTGACTTTGGCTGCAGATCCTGGTCCCGGAGCTGAGGAGTTGGCCAAACGCCCACCCCCGGGGAGGAAGCCATGTGTTTTAAAAAGCTGTCAAAGTGAGCTTTTATATCAGCTGTCGGGCTCATCCATCTTCAGTAATAACTTATTGTCAAGTAACAGGATCCTCCAAGTTGGAACATAATGAGTCTTTCCAGTTAGCTTGTATGGCTAGGAGCTGTGATATGAGAAATCCAAATGGAGGTTAAGGCAAATAAGGACTGTTTAAAAAAAAAAAACAAAAAAAAAACCATTCTAGTCATTCAAGATCAGACATTTTTCTCTATATGATCCAAAGGACATGCTGCAGAAGGTGTCTATTGTCAGTAATGTGAGAGCATGCACAAGGGGTGGGAGCAGGGGATCCCCCAAAGGTTTCAAGTAGACTAGAATAGCACCCCAAGTGCAGGGGTACCCAAACTGCCTCCATCAAAATCTCCAGAGAGCACGTTACAAACTCAGATGCCTGCTCCTTGCCCCCTCCAAATCGGCTGAGAAACCACAAGATGGAGCATTTTCTAATGGCTGGAACTACAGCCTCTCTAGGTCTGAGGGAGCTGTATTTGGAACAGCAATGGCCAGCTTCCTCAGAGCAGTGCAAGTACCAGTTGTTGAGAAGAGGGCATTGTGGACTGAAGGTTGGCATCCCCCCAACATTTATATGGTGAAATCTAATCTCCAGGGTGATGGTATTTGGAGGTGCCTTTGGGGGTAGTTAGGTCACGAGGGTGGAGCCCTCCTGAATGGGATTAGTGCCCTTATAGGAAAAGGCCAGCAAGCTAGCTGGCCCTCTTCTTGCCATCTGAGGATACAACAAGCAGTGAGACGTCTACAACCTGCAACATGGCTCTCACCAGAAGCAGGCTGTGCTGGCACCCTGATCTCAGACTTCCAGCCTCCAGAACCGTGAAAAATCAACCTCTGTTGTTTGTAAACCACCAGTTTATGGTATTTTGTTACAGCAGCCAGAGCTAAGATGGGGGCAAAGGTTTTCTGGACATTGGTTGTTTTATTCAACTTTTGCCCAACGCTCAATGGCTATTGTGTTGTCAGCTCACGTTGAGAAATATAAGGACTTCCCCACATGAAAACTGGAGGGTGTTCCACCCCACCTCCCCTGCCAAGGAAAAAACAAAGATGTCTCCTCTCAAGAGAGGATTATTTTTAGGGATGTGAATTTGTCAACTAGCTGAGGTAAGAATGTAAGGAGAGAGCTGAGTATGGCCAAGTAGGGCTTTTGGGCCTGGGCTTCTAAGGAAACATGGGCCACATATTTAGAATGAGGAGTCTGTTGAAGCAACACCTCTTCAAATACTTGAAGAGTCTAAGTTTTCAAAAGCAGCAGTGGGCTGGCTCTAAGAACGCCAGGTAAGAACCACACTGAGGGTCCCAAGGGCCCAGAGTCCGGCAATGGGGTCTTTTGAGGAAGCCCACGGCTAATGAGGCACCAACGAGTTCCAACAAATGAGGAAAACGTCAAGCGGATTACATGACACACAGGGGCCTGACTGGCATCGATTATTGTTGGGTAGCGTGTCATAAAAAGCTCGTCAAGTGCTCTACCCCGCTAATCCTCACACCCCTCTGTGAGTTCCACAGATGGAGGGCAGTGCCATTTACTCGTGAGCAAACACATTCAGAGAAGCTGGATAATTTGCCTGAGGTCACGGGGCTAACAGGACAGCCTGGCACTCCCACCACACCGGGCTTCCAGCAGGGGCTCCAACATCCGGATGAGGGATGCTGCGTCACGGGATGGCAGACGGCACCCCAGCAAGGTGTTAGGACTGAAATGACTGTATTAATTAATCATACACTAACAACAAGTGAATAATACTGGCTTCTACTGAGAAAACAGCCAAAACTAGACCTATATCTAGTGAAAACTAGTATTTTAAAAGAATACGTTCAAGCTTTTCTATCCTTTCAGTTCTGAACTTTGGTCTGAAGAAATTATTTTAGCATTCTGGCATTAGGAAGTAGAAATGGTAGAAAAGTAAACTATAAACCAGTTAGCACAGAGAAACCAAGACAAAATTGTATTGGCACCAAAAATGCTTTGTTTGGAAATGTCTGAGTTTCAGTAGATATAAAGATTCTAATTATAATTTAAGACGTTAATTTGTGATGTACTTTGCGAGAAAAGATGCAGTCTTAGCTCCCCAGAAACAGGATTTAATGGCATTTGATGTGAGCCACACGCGAAGGGCTTGGTAGTTCTTTACGTAATTCAGCAAGGCTGTTGACGAACAATGAAGGCACATTTAATGCAAACACATGAGCAGAGTCACACAACTGAAAAACGACTGACCTTTATTGTCCTCTGCTGTCTGCGCAAAGTGGCAAGGGAGCAGTCAACAGGATCCGTCTAGGACATCTCTGGATACGCAGGAAGGTGGTGGCGGAAGTGCCACCTGGACAAAGCGTCACAGTCCACACTCCAAACCACACGGGGACCCTTGCCTTGACGTTCCCAGTCCACCACCAGGCTCATCCGGGGACTCTCAATCGCCCCCTACTGGTCCACCTGGTGCCAGGCTGCCCCAGTGCCGGGTCCTTCGTTATACTGACCCTGGTCTATCCCAGGCCACTGAGGATTCTCCCGCAGTGGCTTGGGACAAGACTGAAAATAACTGTCAATTATAACTATAAGCCTTAAAGAAGTTCCTGAGCCAAAATGTGATCTGTCTCGTATCCTTTCACTGTTTCTTCCTGAACTGCTATGTGTAAATCTGTCTTTCAGCTGTCCAGGCACTCACTCTATAGAGGGACTTGAGCATAATGTCAAGATGGAAGACACAACAGCGAGACCTGAAGGAGTGAGGCGGAACTGTTATATCCGTGAGGAGGGTAAGGAACAGATGTGTTTTGTCTAAGGTCATGATCTCCCTCACTCACCTGGATGTCTTTTCTTATATAACTGATGCCCCAACCTCAGGTACCAGACACCAAACTTCTAATTCTTCATCAATCTTCTAATTTATATCAAAGGCCACAAAAGGATACAATTAATTCACAGGAAACAGAAATGGTAAATTAAGTACAAACTCTCATGAAACATATTATTTCTCCTGGAAGCCTCCACAGGAAGGCCAGCGTTGGAAGAGCGTGGCCCTGAAGCCAGATCTCTGGGTTTGCAACGCTGCCCTACCATGTACCCTTGTGCATTTATTTTGTGCCTCATTTTCTCCATCTGTATAATGGGGATGATAGCAGGATCCACCTCACAGGGTCGTGATGAGGAATAAACCAGGACACCGTGTCTGGTATGGAGGGAGTGCTGAATATCCATTAGCTGGAATTAGCCCACGAGGAGACAAACCCTGTGTTGTGTGACTCTGTGTTCCTAGTTCTGCACACTGTGATGATTCAATAAACACTTACTGATTGAGTGAGGGAAAGGCAGCACGAGTGAAGGCAGGTGAGCTCGAGGTGAGACGTCCAGCTGACCAGTCTGGTAAATATTTTTTAACAAATAATGTCCAAAGAGTCAAGTTAAGACCAAGCTTGAGATTCTGGTTACCCTTGGAGTTTCACTAATTAAAATTTATTATTGCAATATACAAAAATGTGGTGGTAGAAAAAGAAAACATGCCAGTAATAAATTTGTTAACCTCCTCTCTAAAAATGTTTCCCTCTAGGCACTGAGTATTCCGTGAATGCTGTAGTAATTACTCTCCCATAATTAAGTCCGAGTTTCCCCAAAGATAAATACACACAGAGTCTTGTCATAATACTTTTTTTTATTACAATATCCAAAAAACTGAGTATGCAAGTTGAGGAGGTCTCAAGACCCCTTCTTCAGTTGTAGGAATGTGCCATCTCAAGACTGTATATTTAAACTATAAAGAAGTTCAAATGTAAAGAAAAAAGAAAATGCAATTTCTCCATAAACATTCTGTGTCTCTTACTACCAATCACATATTCTTTTGTAAACCCTGAAAAATTTCCCTGCAAAGCAAATAATATATATATATATATATATATATATATATATATATAGTGTGTGTGTGTGTTTGTGTGTGTGTAAAGTGTTGGTAGCTCCCCTTCCCCAAAGATCAGTTGTTTTCCTTAATCATCTGTATTAGTGTCAACAAATGGCTACAGATACATATTACTTTGAGAATTAAATATATAATTGTGAAATTTGAACAAGCCAAAGGGCAAGAGGAAAAAGCACTAGGCAGATGGCACATTTGGGGGTAAATTACTGAAACATCTGTCTTTCCAAGTCGCCGGTCCCTCTTTTGTAGACTGACTTTCACGGAAATTCTTTCTTTATTGCAAGCACAGCCCAAAGGCACTGGACAGACCCTCACGACCAGCTCCTGCTGGCTCCAGGATCGCTACCAGCAAACACGTTTACTCCGCGGAGAGTCCGGGAGCCACGAAAGGGCAAAGGACACGGGACAAGGGCTGCTACGACCGGGGACCTTCCCATGTGCTGCCCGGGGCGCAAGAGGGCCCACTTTTTGAGTGTGCTGGAGTTCACTTAATAACGGCAGCTTCGGTGCATTCAGACTGCGCCCAACGTCCTTTTGAGGAGGGTTCTCTTGGCATGAACAACTGGAACAGACTGAGGCTGTTTCCAGTGGAGAAGGAATAAAGTGAACAAACCCGCCCTCTTCCACCTCCCATTCTCTAACTGGCAGGGACAGGGGGGGCGTGACCGAGGGGGTGAGGACCTGGGATGGCCCAGGGGAGGCAGATGGAAACAAACCGACCTGGACAGAAGGATAAACCAGGCAAAGAAGCCAGGGAAGGATGACCCACCGACGGAGCGGGCCCCTCTGCAGGAGAGCCCGTGCCAGACGACTCCCGGGGTGGATCCGCTGGCTCTGGGGAGGTGAGGGTGGCACCGGAGGCCCGGAGGCGCAGGGCGCGGGGAGGGCCGTCACTGAAGCGCTCGGACAAGGTAGAGCTTCTCCCCGTGCTCGCTGGTGAAGATGGGCGCCTTTTTGTAGTGTTCCACCAGCTCGTCCATGGTGTGAAAGCGCCGCTGCCCGATGCAGTAGACATTGTCCACGAGCTGCACCTTGAAATGTTTGTTCTTCCCTGACGCTTTGAGAGACACGGAGAAGTCACTGGGCTGGGGACGAAACAGAACAGGAGTTACGACTGGGCGAGACAGGAGACTTGGGGAGACTCTGCCATCCAGGTCTGAGAAGACAAATACGGTCTCTGAATATCTAGAACGGCACCTGCTGTTCAGAATGCCTTAGAGGCAGCCCAAAATTCTGTTGTTCTGAATCAAAGAAACAGTAAATGTTGCTGAGTACAGTCTCAGTGCTAAACGTATTTCAGTTATCTGAAAATTGGAGACTCATTACAGAACGTACGACACACCGCCAGTGTTAACCTGGATGCTGAAGAAACTTGACTTTTTCATTTTCCAAGCCATTCTGGATAAACTGGCAATTTATAAAAAGTAGTTTGCATATAGGCAGAGGCTAGAAATTTCATTTCCTCTGACTTCTACCACTATTAGAAGTTAAGCCATCAAAAATTTTCTAATTCTAAGCTATTAAAAAATAAATACTTTAAGACCAGTGGAAAATTCTGGTTGCATTTTTAAGGGGCTACATACTATGGTTCAAGCACAGATTTTATTGAGAAATGTTTAAATTCTGTGCCTTACTTATATTTGAATATATTTTAGAAAGATATCATTATTTTTATTAAAATTGGTCTTCTATCTCATTTATTGGAAATTATGCATGGAAGATATTGAATGAGGAATGTCCTTTGGGGAAAAAAGTATTGATTAATTCAATAAACAACTATTATTTACTGACCACAGAGTACACGCCAGGCAGGCATGCCCTGGATACGTGTCCATGTGTATATGCATAGTACATATGCTGTATATTGGTTTCTGCTCTCACAGAAGCTACAATCCAGTGGGAGAAACAGATAAACAAGGAGGTGGATGTATAGTTGCAAAGCATGGTAAGTTCTATGGAGAAAGGAGAGTGTCCTGAGGAGGGTAGGCTAATTTAAGGGCGAGTGTGTGGTGGGGGCAGGAAGGGTCTCTGAAGAAACTGGCGCTGAGCCACCTGTGTGAGTGGTGGGGCTGGTGGGAGAGAGCTGGGAGCTGGGACATCTGTGAAGAAAGGGAGGGAATGTTCTGCCTCTTCTGAGGCACTAAGTGGCTGGAGGGGCGATGGGGGGATGCTAGCTTGCCTCAGAATAAAAGCCAGCTGCCCACCACGGCCCAGCAGGGCTGTGTCACCCAACCCCTGCCTACAGACCCAATCAACAAGACGAAAGTATGTCCTACCTCCAGAACCATTTTCACTCCCGTGTCCATCCTTTGTCCCCCATCCTGGTCAATCCTTCCTGCAAGGCTCAGCTCAAAGGTTCCCCGCCCTGAGGAAGCCTCTTCCATCCCCACAGGAGAAGCTCCTCCCCTGCACTGCCACTCTACAGCATCAAGTTAACAACCTTCGAGGGGCAGAACCACCGTATTCCAGGAACTGCTCTGTAATAACTTATTTACACATACGTCCTATCCCCCTCGCTGTGCATGAGGCCAGGCAGGGCCAGGTCTGATCTACCGTGACATTCCGCAGAGTGCCCCACAGACAGTGGGAGCTAATACAGTTAACTGGATTCCTGCACCAGGTTTCAGCCTTGCCCAAGATCCAGGAACTTACTGCTGCCGAGGATCCATCAGCCAGCCCCCGCTCTGCGTTCCTCCCATCAGGATAACCGTGCCCAGGCCATTGTCTTTCACACCGAGTTTACAAACATTTGAAAAAACGTGTGCAAAGCTTGCAAAACAAGAGATGACTCCGTATAAACCAATGACAACTCAGGGACATGGGTGTCTGAGAAAACTCAACTCAGGGAAGGGCTCCTGACTCACCCACCAGTCACAGCTGTGAGCATAAAAGAAGCAGAGAGACAAGTGTGTATTTATAGCTTGTATTAATGTATCCCTCTGCCCCAAACAGACCGAATGAAAGCAAACCTTTGAGGAAAAAACCCCATCTTATCTCCATGCTAAAACCTAGGGCATGATGCCTTGGAGGGGACCCAGGAAATGCTGGTGGGAGGACACTTAAGGAAGAGACAGGAAGGTTTATCTCAGATGAGGCCTCAGGAGATGTATTATTTTCAGGATCATGGCCACTAGAGGGGGGCGGGAGCAGCAGGGGGTGCGGAGCGAGACACAGAACTTGAAAATCTTGTCCCCAGCTAGATCTCTTAGAAATGAATCATCACGAATCCTGATGTCACAGATGATCCTGTCAACCAGCAGTAGCAATGCAATATTCTAAAACCACAAAACGGCATTCTAAGTAATCATGTGCACAGTTCTCAAATCAGAACTATTTTCACAGGACTGAACAACGAGATGGATGCGAGCTGGCCTCTGTATTCTCGGTCTTACCACCCAAGGTGGTCGCTGTGTATGGTTCTGAAAACAGACCTAAAACAGGTGCTCCTGACAGGCACTCCACACACAAGCAGGCCTGCAGCATCAGCACCACAGTCACTATCACTCTAGTTCTCAGTCCCAGCAGATAGGAGAACCTCACACCGCATTCGTGTACAGCAGTGTCTATCAGCTGTGAACTGCCTGACCCTCGCTGAAGGGCTTCAGGTTTTCCTTAAAGCCACTTTTAGTTTCAAGCTTCTATTAATTTTTATAAGTATATATATTGTGTGTCAAAAGTTTGTGCCTTTAAGTAAAGATAGAGGGCGACCTCCCCTTTACGGTTTAGCAAAGCCAGGCACTGTGCTAGTTCTATAGGTAATCAATCAGCGATACAGTGGCGTCGCAGTGGAGTTAGTACGTGAGTGAGTCTCAGTACATATACCATATACCCAATTTTAATTAAGCCAAATGATCAACAGATGACTTTCTGAACAGGGAAATTTGCTTTTAAGCTCTTGAATGTAACATCGTGGTGCGTGCGTACACGTGTATATGTGTGCTACAGGAGTAAAACTGATGCAGCAGAGAAGATAATTTTTAATTTCATGGGCTCCTGAGCAGAAACCTTCAAGTCAAGGACAAAGAACGAACTAAGTTTATGTCAAGCAGCAGTGCTGAACATATGGGGGAATTCTCAATGCAACCTAAGATTTTCCAATCTGTGTACCAAAATGCACTGTTCCACGTTACCACTGCACAGCTCCAAATGAAGCCTGAAGATGAACTAGACCAGTGGTTCTGAGAGTGTGCTCCCCAGACCAGCAGTATTAGCATCACCTGGGAATTTGTCAGAAAAAGCAAATTCTCAGGCCCCACTCCAGACCTCCAGAATCAGAAAGGATGGGGTGGCGCCCAGCCATCTGTGTTTTAACCCCCAGCCATCTGTGTTATTTAATGAGCCCTCCAGGGGATCCTCACACAGTTTGAGAACAGAAATGAGGTTTGGACCAACCACCAGCAGTGTTTTCAAATGTTCAGAGCCACGAGAAAAAGACGTGAATGTGATTTATAGGCTAAGTAGCCCCTCCAAGGAGGGAGCTCCATGGCCAACCTCACCCCAAGGCTGCAGATGCCTTCTGATTCTGTCCTAAGGAGTCTGGCCCTGTTGCAGACATTCCTCATGGGGAATTTCCTCAGTGGGATGGCTGGGACACTGCTGGGGAGAATGCTCTAAGATCTCTTCCCTTCAGATTGAGCCAGTCTGCTGGATCTGATGGAGATGGAGCTCCAGACTCAAAATAACTCTGCCCCCAGAGAGAGAGCTCAAGGCAAGGGATAACCCCCAAGAAGGCAGTGCCACCAGTCCTGTTCACATCTGCTGCGGTCCCTCCAGGCTTGGCTTTCTGAAACAGACTTAGGGAAGTCGGGTGAAAAAGGATCATGCCATACTCCCCTCACCAAGTAGTAATATATTGATATTATGGCTCAGTACTCTAAATTTAAGCTTGTCAAAGCACCTTAACACTTTTCTGTTTGAATATCTACACTGAGAAAGAGGACCAAAACACACACCAGCCCAGCATTCTCTTTCCACACAGGTTTTTGTTTTGGTGTGTTACTGATCTGAAGACACAGCCCATACGAGGTAGTTAACACGAGCTTTCTAAGCTGGGGCACACAGCTGAAGCCTGTTGAGTGTCACTTATGGGAGGGCCAACGTGCCCTAGTTGATTTCTGAGGTGGAAAGAGTGCTGGACTTGGTAACTCTTCACATTTGGTGGGAGTATAAGCCAGTGCTACTGCTTTGTTAAAGAATTTCTGCATGATTGAGAAGTTGAAGACAGGCATTCTCAAGAACTCAGCAATTTCACCCCAGGAATGTGCTCTCGAGAAGCGCATGCATGTGTGTACCAGGGTACGTGTTCAAGAATGTCTGAGCAGGACTCCTCACAGTGATCCCCAGGTGCAAACACTCCTCATGTCCACCAACAGAAGAATGGACAAATAGACGGGGAGTCTACTTCATCAGACAATGAAATGGATGCATCAACATGGACTGAAAAATCTCACAAAGAGTGTGGACCAAAAGAAGAAAACAAGACAACAAAAGCTGCAGTATGATGCACCTATAGAATTCAAAAGCAGGCAAAACTAAAACGTGCTATTTAGGGATACATACATAGGTTTAAAACAGTAAAGAAAACAATTACCCTATAATTAAAGGTAGCAGTTGTCTCTAGTGCGAGGTGTGGTGCAATCAGCAAGCAAATGTGGGTGTGGGGAGTTGCTTCTAGAGTGCCAGCAATGTCCTATTTCTTGATCTTGACCTGGGTTAAACAAGTACTTTTTAGATGAAATTTTCTGGGTGTTATAGGTCACAATAAAAACTGTTTTAAAGGTGCTAACCCTGAAACTAGAAGACCTGGCTCCGCTATTTACTAGTCATGCGACACTGACAGTTATCTCTTCCAATATTGCTTCCACCTTCCTGTCTACCTCAGCCTGCCACCCCATCTACTCTTTTGGGACACGAATTACAAGTATGTTAAACCTTTCACTTAGTCTTATAAATCTTACTTCAGGCTCCTATAACAGAATACCATAAACTGGGGGGTTTAAAAACAACAGAAATTTCTTTCTTTCCGTTCTGGAGGCTGGGAAGCCCAAGATCAAGTGTCTGCTGAGGACCTGCTTCCACACACAGC